AATACTTTAATACTGATTATTTGACCAGTTGAATATCAGAGTACACTATCCAAACTTCAGCTCATTTCCCGAATTCTGAGGATCTTACCCATTTTGAATTTAGAATAATTTTAAGCATCTGTTGATGTTACAACCGGCTTTTAGGTCAATATCGCTAAAGCCCCTCAATCAAAATAGTACTTTTAACTGCACGTAATCCTTTAATAGTTATTCCAGTTACAATATGTTTAAATCGGTTAGTTAATCGAATGACTTCGAACCCCTATATAAAACACGACAAAACATCTTAATCATTACGGTTCATAAAATTCTTAAGTGATTGCATTGGGGACTCGATTGCGTGGGCACGAATTGATTTGAAATGTCCATTTTTAAAGTACCCCGGTCTTATAAATTGCGTAATGGTTATTTAGAAACGTTTTCATGGAGTGTTTTATTGTTTTGGAACAAAATTGTAATTGATTTGTCTAAAAAAAATCAAAAAGGTTTTTGTGATGATTTTTAGAAATGGATAGAGAGGGACAATGTGACTTAGGATACTAAAGAATAAATATAGATGTCAAATTTGATTTTTTTTAAAGGAATTTTATGACATGGTAACTAAGACCTTTAACTCATGTCTTATTTTAATTTATATTCTTAATTTTATGAAAAATTATAATATGGAGTGAAATGAAATGAAATGAAAATGATTAATTTAGAACATTAATCAACTTGGACGAAATTAAAAGAAATGAGATGATATGGGATGAAATATAATCTCAGTAAAATGGTGGTCATTTATTGAGATTTTTTCAGTGGACTTTTTGGAGGATCCCGAGAAGTTACGTCCAGCAGCTTTGTTTCATTTTCCCACATTTGTGCACCTTCACAGATATTAAACAGCTGATAAACCGCCGTTCTTACAGATTTAAACCTGAAGAAACACTAAATAGAGAAAATAAAACAAATCGCACAACTTCACTCCTCGCGTTCCCGCCAAAAAGTCTGTCAAATATGAAACGTTTATAAAAACAAAGGAATTGAAATAAAAACTAAATTTTAAATAATTTCCATAGCAGCACAGAATATCGTATAAGTTAATAGTATAGCCGTCCGCGAGCAGGCAGGCACAGATAATGAAATTGTGTACAGGAGCGCAACGAGCCGCGAGCGTGTCTCGGGCAAAAATCCACTTAACAAATTGCTGCTGATTCGTAGGGTTCTGGATTGTTGGCCGCTTTTACCTTCGCGTCAATTATTCGACGTGCTATCGATACGCGAAACGAGATTTCTTTCAACACTCCTAATCGAGTTTACGAAATTTCAAATTTATAAGTGTTTGTTTTTAGCACGAAACAGATCCAAGCAATGTTTTTTTTTCATATTATATCGTATCATTCACATGCCTGTTTTTAAAATACGCATGATAGGCATACATCGATAGTATATTGTGAAAACTGTTAATCGATTAGTACCCGACAAATAATAAAAATCGTTCCTAAATAAAAATTTTGATTCCATTGTTTCATCTGAGTTACCTGGATATTTAAACTGACACATTTCGGAATTACGTTACTACACTACTACAATTTAATTGATTGAATAAGTGTAAGTGTTTGTTTTTAGCATGAAACAGATCCAACAAATGATTCTTTTCCTATTATATCATATCATTCACATGACTGTTTCTGAAATACGCATGATAGGGATACATCGATAGTATATTGTGAAAACTGTTAATCAATTAACACTCGCCAAAAAATAATAAAAATAGTACCTAAATAAAATTTTGATTCCATTGTTTCATCTGAGTTACCTGGATATTTAAACTGACGCATTTCGGACTTACATTCTACAGTACTACAATTTAATTGATTGAATAAGTGTGACGCATCCAATTAATTCATTGCGACGGGCAGGGGCATCACTTCATACGTAGCGACAGCAGAAAAAAACGACGACCGAAAAATAAATTGCAAAAACATGTACATAATGAATTCGGCCCGACTTTTGCACGCAATTGCACAATTTCAATTATAGCATTAGTTTGTACGTAGCATGCGACGTATGGGCGTGGCGACACACGCCTGATGAATTACACTTTATCCTGATACATATAATTATCGAAGATTACGTCAAATTTTGCTAAAAGGAAAACTAGCATTAGCGTAGTTATTTCGAAAATAAAAAAAATCAAATACTAAACAAAATTTGTTCATCAATAACAAATATAACAGCTAATTTACTGAAATCATTCACGTTTAGAAATTATTATTTATTTATTTATTTTATTTATTTATTTAATATATTTTGTACACACAGCTGTTAGAAAAAACACGACAATAAGGATACAGAGTACAAGGGCACTACTTACTATTATTACATTTAGATTTAGAATACAAAATTTTTATTATTTTTAAGTCATCACAAACTTAACCAAAGTGAAACAGAATAGAGAACCTTTTATAAATCGCATTCGTTTCCTTTAATGTTGAAACCGTGATTGAAACGATTTTCATTTACATCAAAAGTTAAAAAATCGACTTCGTTCGTGCCTCATATTCCAACGGGTAGATTCATGAGTCATTGAAAAGCAAAGGAGAGATCGCACAAAGGGTCGTCGTTGATTTTTTTGTTTCCAAGGTACAAAAAATTTGAATCGAGCGAATTACAAAACCGACGCGCGACGTTCGATTTTGTAGGGCTGTCCGTTTTAGTATACTTTAGATATTTCGATTGTCGGTCTGTGAATTTGGTTTCTGGTTACAGTCTAATACTCAGAATGTTAATAGTTTTTGTAATTTTACATAGGTATTTTTAACGAGTAGTATTGCATTATATTTGTGTTGTATCACAAAAATATTTTTCAGCAACAATAATGACATTTTGTAGAGACGTAAATAACTTATTTTATAATGAAAGTGAGCAAATAAAACAAGATTATTATAATAGAGAAAATCATTTCTTTAAAAAATATTTTCTCACTACCAACCCTAACATTCAAATATCGAACGTACAAAACGGGAGACGCCTATCTCTATTGAATTCCCGAAAAAGGAAAAATAAAAAGCAGTGAGTAGGTACGAGTCCCCTCACCTATCAAATAGTGCTCCATTGAAATATTGATATTTGTCAGCCTGATTAGCCAGCGCTCCTCCTATACGAATTGTTCTTTATCGAATCTGTTGAATGACTCAGCGTGAAGTCGACATTCAAAAAATTTTGCGTTCACATTTGATTGTTTTTTTTTTCAATCGGTAGGCGTTGTTTATGTTTTTAGATTGGAACTTTTAAAAATTTTGGGTTCGAAACTTGAATGTGGAAAAGATTAGACTACATGTTGACTTGAAATGATTTACAGTGAATTTATATTACTGTGAAGGGTACACAATGGCACCTCTTGGAGGTTATTCCCAAGCCGTTTTATTTGTTTTAAAGTAAAATATGTCAATAATGCGTACACTGGAAAACAAATTTGTGATAAATGTAAAAATAAATGTAGCGACCGCTAAAACTTCACAATCACCATAAACCAAACGAACAATGGAAACAGAAAACCTCAAAAGTTTCGTATATCGTGAAAATGCATTTGGCTCGAGCAAAGTTTTGAGAACGCCGTCAGCAACTGTTGATGAATCGCGAACTGCTTTAATTTGCACAGCTGTCCTTTATTTAGATTTTTACGCTCACCAAATTATTTATAATACATTTACTTTGTTAATTTATGACTAAAGTTTTGAGTGCGACTCTACCTACGGGTTTATTNACCTCAAAAGTTTCGTATATCGTGAAAATGCATTTGGCTCGAGCAAAGTTTTGAGAACGCCGTCAGCAACTGTTGATGAATCGCGAACTGCTTTAATTTGCACAGCTGTCCTTTATTTAGATTTTTACGCTCACCAAATTATTTATAATACATTTACTTTGTTAATTTATGACTAAAGTTTTGAGTGCGACTCTACCTATGGTTTTATTCGCATTTTTAATTTTACCAAACTTTTTTTATTCTTCAAAAGGCACCTTGTAATGCGTTTCGGTTTGAAGAGTAGGGCAGCTGTTGTAACTATATTTGAGACCTTAGAACTTATATCTCAAGATGGGTGGCGCATTTACGTTGATGATGTCTATGAGATCCAGTAACCACTTAGCACCAGGTGGCCTGTGAGCTCGTCTACCCATCTAAGCAATAAAAAAATAAAAATCTTATGATTCCTTAAATAGGCGTTCAATGATGAGCTTGAATAAATCAATACTGATAAGTTTAAATTAACCATTTTATAGTTACGTACTAAATTTAAGTGCTTACCCGATTTGTATAAACACAAATAATTTTATAATTAAATGAGCAACCCTACGGCGTAAAAATACTACAGATGCCGTAGCCGAAAACGGCAGTAAGATACGTTAAATTAAAAGAAAAAAAAATGTTAAGTTACTAAACTATGCTAAGATTTATTAGTATTTCCTTCCGTTTTTGCGTCTCTCGTTGATCATCTTGTGTTTATTATTCACATTTTATTATTTGTTAAGTCGTCGTGGCCTAAAAATAGGGCACTTGATACATTCACACCGATCGGGATTTATTAGTATTTCCTTCCGTTTCTGCGTCTCTCGTTGATAATCTTGCGTTTATTATTCACATTTTATTATTTGTTAAGTCGTCGTGGCCTAAAGGACAGGGCACTTGATATACTCATACCGGGCGATGCCGCTATGCCCGTGATCAAAACCCGCGAACTAGTACGTTTTTTTCTATCGGGCTACATGCTTAATTGCTGTTCCCAAACTACTTTCATGAAGGAATTACATCGTACACTAAAAAGTTGAACACGCAAAAAATATAATTTGCGTAATTCTTACACAGTTCAAACATAGACCTGAAATCTCAAGACGGTTGGCGACATTCACGTGGTTACGTTTTTGTTTAGTATCTGTGATGGATTCCGGTAAGCTTTAAGGTGTTCTTTGTCGACGTATGAACATAGAAAACTGTGCTAATCTATCTTAGCAAGACTTACCTGTCGATGATGACGGGATCCGAAGGTGTTTCGTTTCTGTTACCACAACTTTTCTTGTCACAGCAGCGACTGTAAAAATAATAGAAGAATAACACACAAAATTATTTCATTAAGTACATGAAATTATGAACTATAATGAAACTTAAGAATAACGAAAGACAGTCTGCTCTTTTACAGCACCATCACGAATTAATAAACAGGCCGAATATTAATTAGTATTTTTATAAGGTAACGCAAGGTAAAGAAAAAGCTTATCAGCACATTTCCTTACGATTTTAGGTTACGCTATAATTTAAAATAAAACTATAAGCTTTGTTTGATCAATGAATCCGGCAAAGCTATATCAAAAAATTGTTTACTGAATTAATTTTAGTTTCTGACATACCGTCCTACTGTTGTAATCAACCGCGTGTAAACGGACGGACAAACAAAAAGATGTTCCACCTAAAGCGAACCCGTGTTGCGCCCTACAGAGAGCTCCTTGACGCAAAGGGCAAAGACATTGAAAGGACAGACTCCCTTGAGACTCCTCCCCTGAAGACGCGCGACAGAGACACGCATATCTCGCAAACAGAGATAGAGATATGCAGTCTTAGGTGGAATAAAATTTTAATTGCTCACGCAGACACGGTCTGTTGTCAAACACTAGCTTTTTGGTCTGTGGTCACAGTGCAGAAACTTCAGTGATTGAAAATGTTTTAACATATTCTTTTTAGCTACGTTTATATCTATTTAGGTAATTAGGAGTAGTAGGTAAAAATTGTTTCATGACTTACGAAATATATATGTGTATATGATAAAATAAAATAGGTTGTCAGTTTTGTTATTAAGTGAATAATAGATTTGTAATGTATGTATGTATTGTATAATTGTACACACACACTTTACACACTTAGCTATTTTGAATCAGAAATATGAAAATTACATAAGATTTTAGGAAAGAGTTCCAAATATGAAAGTATGACATAAAAGCGTGTGAAATTTACCTGCACATGACCTCATGCGTGAGTAAAACCCTGCACATTTCTGGATTCTTATCTTGACCTTCATAAACAATCGGCTGGAACAAATAATTTATTTATAACAATTTCAATTATTATTTCAATCTCAATATTACTGATGTATTAAATCGCAATCTTGTTTAACTTGCGTAATTATTGGTGATTATGGGCCCGCGGGGATCCTGCCTATTTCTACCACGATCCACTCATGGGTAGTGGCTTGGCTATGCCCTTGGGATTGCTGACATCTATGAGCAACTGTGACTTTTGTTACTGTCAGGTAGGTTTTGTGCTTCTCATCTTACAATACTGGTTAAAAAAATATTCCAATTTCAGAGGACGAACAGTTATACTATAAAAATGAGTCATCATGTCTCAACATGGTTACGTGAACCGATTGGTGAACCGATTTTACGACGCTCATGAGAAGACATGGGTTAGACCGAAAACACACAGCTAAGTTTCAGGTAGCCTAACATTAGGTGAGGGATAAGCTCATCCAACTATCTAATGTGAAAATAATCTAGGAGATTTAATTTTTTTTATATCATTGTTTTTTTTATCATATGGTAGCTGCGTCATACAAGAAGTTTCTTTCAAGTAAATAATAAATTCTAAATATATCAACAAACACTCCTAATTAAACCAGTTACCTATTTACGTTTTTTTTGTTATTTTCTTTTATTGCTTAGATGGGTGGACGAGCTCACGGCCCACCTGGTGTTAAATGGTTACTGGAGCCCATAGACATCCACAACGTAAATGCGCCACCCGCCTTGAGATATAAGTTCTAAAGTCTCAAGTATAGTTACAACGGCTGCCCCACCCTTCAAACCGAAACGCATTACTGCTTCACGGCAGAAATAGGCAGGGTGGTGGTACCCACCCGCGCGGACTCACAAGAGGTTCTACCAGCAGTAAGTATTTTAGCTATGACAATTTGAAAGTGCCTGTGAAGTTCTGCTTGAATAAAAACATTTTCAATTTTGATTATATCACATTATAACGAACCAAAAATTGAACATAATTTACGTTTCTATAAAAAAAAAAACATTCCCTGATTACATTTCAGATAAGATAATATTAGAACTGTTATCTCCGATGCATTGAAAAGTTTATCGTAGATAACAAAAATATTATAATTTATGCACCCTTCTGCGTGATTGCATTTTATTATCAAAACCAAAAACGGATTTGCATTAGTCCCGAAGTAACATCCCCAAAAATTTAAGAACAAAACGAAAATAAAATTACAAATGAATAGGAAATAACGAACATTCACAACTAAGAAGAGAGCAACTAAGAGGAATTGTATTGAAATGACGCTAAAACTATGTTCAAGGTAAAAATAAAAAACAAAATTATTTTTTTAGTCAATTAGTCTTAATTTAGGTGGTACTTATTCAGTGGTAGGACCTCTTGTGAGTCCGCGCGGGTGGGTACCACCAGCCTGCCTATTTCTGCCGTGAAGCAGTAATGCGTTTCGGTTTGAAGGGTGGGGAAGCCGTTGTAACTATACTTGAGACCTTAGAACTTATATCCCAAAGTGGGTGGCGCATTTACGTTGTGAAAGTCTATGGGTTCCAGTAACCACTTAACACCAGGTGAGCTGTGAGCTCGTCCACCCATGTGAGCAATAAAAAAATAAAAATAATAATTTAAAAACAATAATTTTGTTGTACTGCACTAAATATTTTAGTTCATAAAAGTCAATATATTTTGCGTAGCTAAACTAGACTAAAATGTTTTTGTTGCCTACCACACTAAAATACACCCCTACTGGTGAGCACGTGTCGGTTTCGTTCGCTATTAATAACTAATTAGGAATTGTAACCTCTATTTTAGCAGGCGGATGTGTTAAATTTATCGTGTTTCGTTTTTCCCATGAATTGTAAGAACAAATACTAGGTATGTGTTCTATTTACAGAATATACTGGCTATACTAATTTTCCGACATATTTTTATGAATTAAAAATAAAGATTATTATATATTAAATAATAAAAATTATATATATATCATATATTTCACATACATATATTACATGCATATATTTATATATATATATATATATCAAATTATCACAATTCAGAAACAATTTTTTATTTATTAATGTTAACACAACAAAAGATTTTTAGTTACACAGTAAACTCAAATTTTTCTATTATGTACAAGTCAGTATTATTTTTCTAATGTTGCACGGAGCATTAACCACCAGATCCCGCAAAAATCGAGATACATTTTTTGATCCCTAGCAAAATACTTAATTGAATATGAAATGGTCTAGCATTATCGTCTTTTGTACTAAGGATTTGTAGGGATTACGTCTACGTAAGGGTGTTTTTCAAGGGTCATAGGATAGTATTTAAGCAGACAAAATGGCTTGGGGGTGCTTCGGGGGATATTAGTGGGGGACTGGTATCAGGTGTGATTGTAAATGAAATAAGTCACTATTCATTATAGAAAAATGTGTTATATTTCAGAGATTAATGTTATAAGATTGTTTTTTGAATGGCGGCTTCCTACATAGATTACATAGACGCGTTTTTATATTGTTACGAGAATTTTATATATTAGATAATTTATACTAGATGATGACCGAGCTTTGCTCGATTTTTTTTTAATAACGCCATCTTGTTGTGTCTTTAAGGCGGTTAGTTACACTCAATTAAGAAAAATAGTGTTATTATTCGCGAATAGATGTCGGGAAGAGCTGATTATTGAAAACACGAATAAAACAACATTTACTAAAAATAAATCATAGCTAGATCGATTTATCGCCCCCGAAATCCCCTGTAGGTATACTAAATTTTATAAAAATCGTTGGAGCCGTTTCCGAGATTTAGATTATATATATATTAATATACAAGAATTCTTCGTTTAAAGGTATAAGATATTTGTAAACAGAAGCCAATATTAAAAACGAACACTTACTAAATTTCCAAAATTCACCCTTTTATTCGATTTTAAAACTCGGGTATCAGCTTACAACGGTTTCAAATTTCAAAACCTTCGTATGAATAAGCAAAACTTTGCAAGTTTTTCTTATAAAATACCCTGTTCAAATAAACAGTTGCAAAGGGAACTAGCCATCATTTTTCTAGATCCCTAACTAAAGTCCCTCAGGATCGGGGCGAGTCGACCGCTGGGCATAGCGTCGCATGGGATTCAATCTCTTGGGAATTATGGGGTTGAAAAAAAATACTGACCAGCGTGGCTTCTGTTGGTAAATACAATTTGAATGATAAATAGGTATTATGGTAATCGTTTCGATTATTATTTTTGGACACTTCACTTAATGTACAAAATTGATTTATCGGATTACATCAAAGGCCGTCGAGCAATATTGATTTATCGAAGTAATTAAAATAACAACGCTATGTAATAATATTAAAATTATGAAATTTATTTGTAATTACATTTCGGACCTGGACTAGCAGTAATATGATTTCCCTAACGCGAAACAGTTCATTTGAGCTTCAACGGTAATATTATTATTTGTTTTAATGCAACTGAAACTCATATTTCAATAAACCATATTTCTCAATATTGGTAGCCGCATTAATTGTTTAAATATGTTTTATTTTATTTTTATATTATTTAAGGAGCACTTAGTATTTAGTTACCGGGGCTCTTGGATATGATCAAGCTCTATCAAAATAAATATTAGATTACCTATCTTGCCTAAATTTCCAGCGAAGCATTAACGCATCACAAAACATTGAACGAATGGCGGCAAACGTCATGTGTGTACTGGAATTTTCGATAACAAATTAATACTCAGTGGACATTGAGTACCTTTAATCATCTAAATAAAAAAATATATGACATAATTTTGAAACGCCAAATTATAAAAAATACTTTGATACATTACAAACTTAAAAATTTGCAATTTTAGATAGTAAACAGTACAAGATCAGTGCTGCCTTGAATTTATGAACCAGGACGAAATAAAAGCTTCCTACAGTACGACAAGACGTAGTACCAACTCGCAAAACAACACTGACATGATTTACATGACCGACAACGAAATGGGACTTGGCGATCTTTTTGACTGCATTTGTCCACTTGAAATATAAAGTCATACATAGACTGCATTTTTTTAATATTAATGCCAAAAAACCGGTTAATCACTAAACGAATATTTTATTAATTTTAGCACATTAAAAGTCATATAACGTCATTTGTTTGTTTAATTAAATAGTTTTTCTGTTAGTTCCATTTGAAAATGCTAATCGCCGTCAAGAATCGTTTTAATTTGATTCATCTATAAAAAATCTGTTTGGAGCATATTTCATTAAGTTTTGGCAAAAACAAATAGGAAAATATTTAAATACCTATCCAAAGATACTACACACCTAGAATTTTGTTAATCCTTAATTTCTTTTCCTTAATTAACAATATTAAAGATAAAAAATATATCAATTTAATAAAAATATAACTCGTTTTGAATTATTCAAACAAGTAACAATCAGAAAGATCACTTCGCAATTTTACGATTCAGATGTTAGTAAAACACAAAAATGGTCGACGAAAATCTTTGAAAATAAATTAAAATAGTAAAGAATAAACAGACGAACATTAAAAGTCTACAATGATTTACGTGTCCACTCACAACAATGCTTTTCCGGTAATAACAGTTATTCGAGCGAACAAACATTTCATAGTTATAACAGGTTTTATTGATGCTATTTATTTAAGAACTGCTAAATGCGTCAGTATTATTAACTTTATTACATTTTATGTTCCGAAAGAACCGTGATAATATTTGTTTAGTGACGAGATAATAAAAATTCTAGGTGTAATAACGACCGTATTGTGTACCAATAGCACCAAATCTCATTAAATTAACGACGATTATTTAGTACATTTATATTTTTAAATTTGTATTAAATTTGAAACTAGTCAATTTTTCAGGCAGCACTTTCTCACAGTCAGGCAACGAGAAGCCATCAAATTAATATGTTGTTTGAATATAGTTAAGTAAACATAATCATGAACGCACGTGCACAGCGCACGCCTTCCCATTCAAACCGCTGGTTGTTCTATGGGATTTGACCG